CCTCCTCCTAATCTACAACCTCCCTCCTTTTTGGAACCCAGAGAGGAAGAGGAAACTAGAGAGGAACTCCTGAATATTTTCCCCACATATTTCTTCCTCTTCCCCAGAGGAGTCCATCGCCCCAGAGTAAACATCACCACCTCCTGAGGACTTTAAAGGTTTTCAAGACCTCATTAGGAGAGTGTCTACATCTGTACAAACTCCCATTCTGGGAAAGGTTGCCCATCCCATTAATTAAGCCTTGCTTGAACTTGCAAAGATCCTTTGGCAGACACTGGTCTCTATTCCACCCACTGCCAAATGAATGGACAGATGGTATCAGGTTCCCCAGCAAGAATTTGTGCATCTCTTCACTTACCCCATCCCAGACTCATTAGTGGTGACAGAAACAAAAGAACATTTGAGGCAGTCTCGCCCTCAGGCTACCCATGAAGGATAGGGAGTGTAAGACACTGAACCTATATAGCAAAAAGGCTTGTATTACCACAAACCTTCTGGTAAGGGTATCAAATTACCTGGCATTTTTGTCCAAATGCACCTTTATAAACTGCTCAGAAATTTCAAATTTATTTATTTATTTATTTTGGACAAACTGCCTGAAGAATATAGGGATCACTTTTTGGTCATTGTCTTCAAGGTCATCTCACTGCTTGAATGTCTGTCCAAGCAGCTATCGGTGTATCCGATCCCGCATCATGTTTGATGGGTACAGCCATCTCAATGAGACACTCTTTTTGGCTGCAGGTCTCTGGCATTCCTAAACAATTAATTAAAAATGCAATAGAAGATCCTACCATTTGAAGGTGCTAAACTGTTTTCTCAGAAAACCGATGACGCCATGCACATGTTGAAAGATTCTTATCCATCGCTTTGTTTGCTGGGTGTTTACATCTCAATAACTAAAAGAGGAAGCAATTTGAGGCCCAAAACACAGTACAGAGCTTACTACCAGCAGAGATCTCAGGATGCCTCTAGAAGGAGATCTAAGCCGCTTAGATGTCCCCCATTGGCATCACAGACCCTTCTCACCAGACTTTTTGTACACTTTGAAGCAGTCGTTTTGATGACTGCATGCTGACCGTGTTTCATCTACGACATCCAGACCCTCCATTTTGGAAATGCTGTCTCTCTTTTATAGTGCATGGACGGAGATTACGTTGGACAAATAGGTGCTCAGCACAGTAAGAGAAGGATACATTATCCAGTTCATGTCCTTTCCTTTCCTCAACCTGCCTTCCTTGTCTCTTTTCAGGGACCCATCTTATGAGGTTGTTTTACATCAAGAAGTACAGTTTCTATTGGAATTGGGGGCAAGAGAGGAAGTTCCTTATCAACACAGAGGGAAAGATTTCTATTTCTGCTACTTTCTGATTCCTAAAAAGAGAGGTGGCCTTTGGCCCATTCTGGATTTAAGAAAGCCAAACCATTTTATCAAAAAGACAGTCAACTTGACATCTATTACCAATCTCTGAGAGGGATATGCTGCCCTTGACCTGCAGGATGCGTATTTTCACATGGCAATATATCTTGGCCACATAAAGTATCTTTGATTCAAACAACATGCACTGCCCATACACTGTGCTGCCCACCAGCCTATCCTTGGCCTAAGGGTATTTATCAAGTGTATGATGGTAGCAGCAGCTCACCTGCACCGTTTAGGAGTTGAAATATCTCCCTACCTGGACAGTAGGCTTGGTCAGGAAAGGTCAGGATCTCACAATCAAAAAAGCATTCTTGTCATCAGACATCTGTTCTTTGGTCTAGATCGAAAACTGAATGTAGAGGAATCAACATTACAAGCAGTGCAGCAAGTAAATTTCATAGGGGTAGATCTCGATGCCACAATTCCCATTGCTTACCTCCCAACAAAGAAGTTCCAGTCCATGGTCTTTGTCCGAGAGCCTCAATTCCAACCTGAGGACCACAGTGAATTCATGTCTAGAGTTGTTGGGTCACATGGCCTTGTGTACGTAAGTGGACTCAGCATGCCAGACTTTACCTCAAATGTCTGTAGACCTGGCTTCACTCAGCATATCATCCAGCAAACATCCAGCAAGGTGTTCGTTACCACCATCAGGTGGTTCAAGATCTTACCAACAACATCACTGCTGTGTTTTATCTGAACAAGCAGGGAGATGAAAGGTTGTCTCAGCTATGCCAGGAAGCGATCCACTTGTGAAACTTCTGTATAAAGATCAATATCTCACTGAATGCCTTTCACCTCTCAGGAGTGAGGAACTCTATATTGCAGATTCCATCAGCAGATACCTCATAGATCATCATGGGTGGTCAATAAAGAGGCCATTCTGCAGCAGAACTTCCATTAGTGGGGTTATCCAATAATAGACCTCTTTGTAACCAACCTGAACAATAACTGCAGGAGGTTCTGTTCTAGGGCAGGTCACAGCCCAGTTCTATTATTAATGTCTTTATTTTTTCCCTGTTTGGGACATCTGGTGCCCATGTTTCCTCCAGTCCCTCTGATTCCAAGGATGATAAGGAAACTAAGAGACAAAGAACCTTAAACCTCATAGCGCTTGCCTGGCCAAGGCAGTACTAGCACATGGACCTACAGCAACTCTCCATCTGGCCACCCATACCTCTATCTCTGCTTGAGAATTTCTTATCTCAAAACCAAAGCAAGTCACTGCACCCTAACCTACAATATCTTCACCTAACAGTATGATGATCTCTGGTTGATCAATGAGGAGAAAGTCTGCTCCTGAGAAGTCCAAGCTGTTCTGGTGAACAGCAAAAAGGATTCCACGAGAGCCATGTATGAAGCAGAATGGAAAAGGTTTTCAGTCTGGGTGGAATCACATCAGTTATCTCCTGATAACACAGAGATTAGACATATTTATGCCAGACTACGTTACTGCATCTGAAATCCTTTGGTCTCTCAGCTCTCCATTGAGCAGCAATTTCTGCAGCACGTCCACGAGTGGACAGGTTTTCAATCCCCGGTACCCATATTTTTAAGGGTTCTTATCCATGTATACCCTCCAGAGTCTGAACCAGTACCTTCATGGGACCTGAATTTTAATATTGTCCCATTTGGTGAGACCCCTCTTTGAACCTTTGGCAACAACATCCTTGCTTCTGCGGTCAGTGAAAACGATGGGATGATTGGGAGGGCTCTGACATTTTACCTGCACCTCACAAAGTCTTTCAGATCCTCTCTTAGACTGTTTGTTGCCTACGCTGACAGGGTTAAAGGGCAACCTGTTACAGTCCAGCATATTTCACATTGAATTTCAGATTGTACTAAGCTTTGCTATGATCTGGCAAACGTCGCTCTGCAAAGGAGCCCACTCCACGAGGGTTCCTTCCATTTTGTCAGCCTTCTTGAGTAACGTTCCTATAGCAGCCATTTGCAAAGCAGCAATGTGGTCATCTGTACATACCTTCTCCAGATACTGTTACTCAAGGTTCATTAGAGGACACTAACTTCAGCCAGTTGGTGTTGCGGTCTCTCTTCAAGTCATCTGATATCCACCAGCTGCAAGGAAACTGCGGGTGAATCACCTACAGTGGAATGTGTGTGTGCACAATTGCCCCACGGAGTCAAAAATGGTTACTTATCTGTACAGTAGCTGTTGTTCTTAGAAATGTACTGCGAGATTCTGCGACTCTCCCACCTTCCCCGCTACTTTGAGTTTAGCTTACCAGCAGTGCAAAGAAAGGGAGAAGGAGATGGCGATCACACCCCTTTATACACTTGGTTTGGTGCATGAGGATAGCAGGGGCGCATGTGCTGCCTGCTGGTATGACTGGTAAAAGTCTCCGGCTGGAGCGTGTTGGGTCCACAGCCACCTACAGTGGAATGTACATCTTGAAGAACAACAGTGACTGTACAGGTAAGTATCAGAGGGGTAGCTGTGTTAGTCTGGATCTGTAAAAAGCAACAAAGAGTCCTGTGGCACCTTACAGACTAGCAGATGTATTGGAGCATAAGCTTTCATGGGTGAATACCCACTTCGTCAGATGCACCGGTAAGTAACTGGTTTTTGTTATGAAACATTTATATTGCAGTAGCACCTAATGGCCACAATGAGGTTGGGCCACATTATGCTAGGTGCAGTACAAGCATATAAAAATGACCACCTACACTAAAGAACTTCCAGTCTAAAAGATGAGACCTAATGAGTGGATGAGCCAAATAAGTAGGCTGGGACTGGAGGCCTGAAAGACCGGGAAACAAATTGTAATAGGATGTGTGCAAGTTCTTGGTGGTGGTGGGGCTACACTGTGGAGGGCTTTGAAAGTAAGGAGAAGAAGTTTCATGCAGTGGAAGAGAGGGAACCAGTGGAGAGAGTCTTGAGTTGATTGCTGTAGGTGGAGTAATGAGCCAAGAATGATGATCTTAGCAGCATTTTGGAAGGATTTGAGTTGGGGGAAGGATGGAGTTTGGAGTTGTCAAAGCCAGAGAAGAGGAGACTACAGTAGTCAAAGTACGAAGTGATCAAGGGCTGAACAAGACTTTTGGCAGTGTGATCAGAGAGAACAGGTGGATCTTGGAGATATTGTGCAGGAAGAAGTGGCAAGATTTATACATGGCCTGGACGAGCTCGGGTCGTTGTGATGTCTGTTGTGACAGAGAAAGAGGAGGGAAGGGAGGTCTTTACGGAAAAAATCAGGAGCTCTGTTTTGGCCATGCTAAGTTTCAGTTGATGGCAGGACCTCCACAAGGAAATGTCAGAAAGACAAACGAACATAGTTGCACTCAGGGAGGAAGGGAGGGAGATTTGTCAGTCATCAGCAGAAAGTATTTGTCAACAGTGACTATAAGAGTGGTGCCTGAGATACTAAAGTTTCCAGTCATATTTAAAATAAGGAATAATGAAGGCAACTGTGTAGTATCTGTTGGTTGCCTTTTTAATGTACTGTATTCTGCGAACAATATTAAGTGGCTTTTAAAATATTTTTCTCAGTTTTTTTCTCTTAGTCATGATTTTACTAAAGCCCAGTGCTTTGTATTTCCCTCTTGCTTCTGTTTTCAGGACAAGACATTTCAAAGAGAGCATCAAGTTTATCCATGAGTGCCGGCTTAGAGGTGAGGGCTGTCTTGTTCACTGGTACGTATGTCAATTGTTTAAGAATATTCTTAATTTCCCCCCTCCATTTTGTTGTCAGTGATAAATTAGCGTTGCCCACCCTTCTTTCTTTTTTAATAATAATACTTTTGCACTTATATAGCACCTCACATCTGACGATCCCCCATCAAAATTAAAAATGCTCGTTAAGCCTGGCTCCACTGTGGATATTGAGGCACAGAGAGGTTAAGTGGCTGCCGGAGCGCACGATGTGTCAGTGGAAGAGCCAGGAGTGAAATCCAGAGCTGCTGACTCCAGTCCCCCACTCGGACCTTGGGACTATCTGTTCCCTGTGTTATATTTTACCAATAGTGTTGCATCATCTATTTTTCTGATTAATGCTAGTCACCATTTTCTTCTCTCACAGACAGTTCCTGTAATCCTAATAATTTTATCAGTTCCTGTTGCAACTATTTTTGCTGCTTTAGGGCTGCTGGAAATTTTCCTCTCAACAGAAACTGATATTTTAAGCTTCACTGAAGCATTTAAATATCACAGCTGTTTCGAGCAGATTACTGATTAGAGAGGGAGTCCTGAGACATTAACTGCCTTCAAAGAGTTGGAACAGAGAAAAGGAAAGCCCATCGTGGTTTTTCTTACTGTCATTGCTTGTGGTCCTTGTGCATTGCTGCAATGTCTAACCAGCATTTCAGAACCTATATCTAGAGTCAGGTCTAGTAGTTTGAGCACTGGACTTGGAGGTAGGAACTCCAGCATTCTAATCCTGTTCTGCCATTGGCTCATTGTGTAGCTTTGAACAAGTCAATTAACCTCTCTGCGCCTCACTCTCTTCGTATTTAAAATGGGGATATTGACCTACTTCATGAGGGTGTTCTGAGACAGTTCGCTGATATTGTGCTTTATCATTTATATTCTTTGAAAGTGTTAAGTGCTAAGTGAGCAAATCTACAACTGTCACTCAAATGTATTCTTTATCTATAGTAATAACACCACTTTTCATTCAGAGCTGTCAAACCACTTGACAGTGGTAGGTTCTGTCATTCTCCCAGTGTCCCAGATGGTGAAACTGAGGCACTGAGAAATAAAGTCTCACGGCATGTCCGTGGCAGACCCAGAAATAGAACTGAGTCCTGTGCTCTAATTGTTCAACTCAGTCTGAAGGTTTAATGAATTTAAATCCAATCTCATTAGAATTAGAGCTCTATATGTGCTGGAAAAGGCTGCCTTCTTATTTCATGACCCTATTCTGTATGGGGGGGTGTTTTATTTTTATGTCTGGATAACTCGTATCTAGTTTAAGAAAAACAACAATACAAAATTGTTCTCATGCTTTCTCATGGAGGCTTTGTATTTGTTCTTTGTTTAAAAAAACTCTCATCTGAACTGAATTTCAGTACAGCTCCTCTCTTGGGGTGCCCATACTGCATGCAGGTTTCAGAGTAGCAGCCGTGTTAGTCTGTATCCGCAAAAAGAACGGGAGTACTTGTGGCACCTTTAGAGACTAACAAATTTATTTGAGCATAAGCTTTCGTGGGGTACAGCCCACTTCATCGGATGCATAGAATGGAACATATAGTGAGGAGATATATATACACATACAGAGAACATTAAAAGGTGGGAGTTGCCCTACCAACTCTAAGAGGCTAATTAATTAAGAGAAAAAACTTTTGTAGTGATAATCAAGATTCACTCCTCTACATTTTAAGGTCCAGTACATAGACAACATAAAGATATCTCAATAGTTCTATAGGAACAGCTGCCACAATGTGCTCATTCCTTTCAACTCCTTAATTTAGGTAGTATATATTACTCTGTAAACTGCTGTGTAAATTTATGATGCTATATGAGATAATGAGCGTATTTATTTTAAGACTTCATATTTTGTATCTATTTATTCTGTCTCATTTCTGCTGCAGTCTTGCTGGAGTCTCCAGGAGCGTAACTTTGGTAGTCGCTTACATCATGACAATCACAGACTTTGGCTGGGAAGATGCATTGTCTATTGTACGAGCATCGAGATCCTGTGCCAATCCTAACATGGGCTTCCAGAGGCAGCTACAGGAGTTTGAAAAACATGATGTTGACCATGTAAGTGATTTTTGTTGACCAATTTGGTTTCTTAAGGCATAAAGTTTTGGACTGTATCATAACTTTAGAAGGTTAAAGATTAGAAGATAAATGGCCCAGAATGCGGCAATAATACAAATGTACAAGTGATGCTAATGTAAAAATTGTTTTTTCACATCTACCTAGGATGTTAAAGCAAGAAAAAATAGTTTTTCAAATTAACAATGTTGTAAACAAAACCTGAGATCTGAAAGTCAAGCTGGGTTCTTGTCCTGGCTTATGCATCATCACCAGTAATAAACGTTTTGTACAACTGGAACTTAACTAACAATTGTGGGGATGATGCATGAACCAGAATGGAATCCAGCTCCTTCTCCTTGAGCTGGGTTGGTTCTGCAGGGCTAACGGGAGTTTAGAAAAATAGTAACAACCTGTTTTTGTCAATAACATAAACAAATACAGCTGAACACACACCTGGAACAGGTCTGTTGAGTAAGGAGGTACTGTTTTTACATAATTGCTTTTCTGACCATAACTCCATTTTACATTGATCAGCACATTTCTGTCCTCTATACTTTCTCAAGCCACTCTTTTAAAAGAAAGTAAATAAGGTGAGGAGGTTGGCTTCATTTTTCTTCCAGGATTTCTTGCAGCAGAGAGCTGAGAAATTACTGTGGCATTTCAGGAATGCAGTTTTCAACTGTAAATATTTGTTTTTTGAAAATATTTAACTGAATATTTCCTGCGTCATTCAGAACTGATATTAATGGGTTAGTAACTGACTTTTTAAGATACAATATAAAGGGACTTTCCAGACTGGTCTCCTTTCTCCCTTATATGAAGGTTTACAGTCATTTCAGATCTAATTGGACTGAGCTAATAACCCTAATTGTCATTGTATATGCAAATAACCTTGAAAAGAGAGTAACGTCTTTTTTTTTTCATGTCACAATGGAAGGATGCAGCAGTTTCTTCACTGAAAGGAAGGCACTAGGCTACAAAAAAAAAAATGCTCACCTGTGGACATAAGTTGTAGCAAGCTATTGTATCTCTCAATCACAACTTTTGGGACCAGATCCTCCGCAGGTGTGAATCGGTGTACTTCTATTGATTTCAATGAGGATCTGGGCCTGAGTTGTTAATTACAGCACCACTTGTCCATGGTAGCTCTGTACAAAGTATATTGGGGTTTCAGGACATTTGATCCATTAGATTTGATCTTCTAGGCATTGAAGATCATAACATGTTGTGTATCATTGATAAATTTCCCTTAGATGTGCATTAAGGGCAGGAATGGTGTCCCTAGCCTCTGTTTGCCAGAAGCTGGAAATGAGCGACAGGGGATGGATCACTTGATGATTACCTGTTCTGTTCATTCCCTCTGGGGCACCTGGCACTGGCCACTGTTGGAAGACAGGATACTGGGCTAGATGGACCTTTGGTCTGACCCAGTAGGGCCATTCTTATGTTAAGGTCTCATCTTTGATATGGCCTCAATATAAATGTATTTGCTTATTCTGTATGTGTTTGATCCTGCAAGAGGCTGAGCACTATGGTCCTGATCCAGCAAAGCACTTAAGCATGTGCTCAACTTTTAAGAATGTGAGCAATCCTATTAATACCTTTACGACTATTTGCATACTTGTGAGTCTGTGTTTAAGTGCTTTGCTGGGTTAGAGCGCAATTGCCGAGTTCCTTACAGGATCGATCCCCATATAGTTACTAACTGAATGGATACCTCCACTCTAATATATTTCATACTCTTCCTAAACTTGCCAAACATTACACAGTTGATGAAGAAAGAGTCATGTGACCTAAAATAGTTTTGCATTCATAGCTAATCAGTGATAGCAGGGCTTGGAGAGGGAAGGTGCTGCCTGTCAGCCTTGCTTTCCTCAGCTGATTGACAGTAGTGGAGCTACAAAAGCAAGAATAAAGAGCAGGAGCCACTTATTTTTTGAAGCCCCCACCCCCGCCAAACAGTTGAGCAGAGTAGGAGCAATTGTAATTGCTTCTGCATTGAGGCTTCACTGCCGGGTTAGGTAAGTGGGGCCTGGTCCACACAAACCCCCCACTTCGAACTAAGGTACGCAACTTCAGCTACGTGAATAACGTAGCTGAAGTCGAAGTACCTTAGTTCGAACTTACCGCGGGTCCAGACGCGGCAGGCAGGCTCCCCCGTCGATGCCGCGTACTCCTCTCGCCAAGCTGGAGTACCAGCGTCGACGGCGAGCACTTCCGGGATCGATCCCAGAAGATCGATTGCTTACCGCCGGACCCGGAGGTAAGTATAGACCTACCCTGGGACACGAGTCAAGGCAGGAAGAAGGAGAGGCAGGTTAAAGAATTTGCACACATTTGTAATGTGCTTATTTGATACAGCAAGAGATTATAGGCCAGGTCATCAGCTGGTGTAAATCGACATACCTCCATTGAAGTCATTGGAGCAATGCTGACTTGTACCCGCTGAGGAACTGCCCTTATGTAAAATGTTGAATGCTTAAAACGCCTGGTTTAGCCCCCAATCCCACAAAGACTTATGCTCATACTTAACTTGACACACGTGAGTAGCCCCATCAACATCAAACTAAGCACATGCATAAATCTTTGCAGGATCAGGGTCTGAGGCTGTAGTTTTATCTCACATTGTATCTGAGACTGCAATGGAATCTTTTTTTCTTTTTTCGGGGGGCAGATGCATATTTTATAAAATGTTAAACATTTAAAAGTTTTCCTTCCCTTCTCCTTGCATCCAGCTAAATCATTTTAAAAGCACAGTAATGCACTTCCAGGTATGTATTAAACAGCCTATATACTACACCCCCCCCAGCATTGGTATGTTGAAACAAGAACAGTCATACTGGGTCAGACCAATGGTCCATCTAGCCCCAGTATCCTGTGTTCCGACAGTGGCCCAATGCCAGGTGCTTCGGAGGGAATGAACAGAACAGACAATCATCAAGTGATCCATCCCCTGTCGTCCACTCCCAGCTTCTGGTAGGTCAGAGGTTTGGGGACACCCAGAATATGGGGTTGTGTCCCTGACAATCTTGGCTATAGCCTTTGATGGACCCATCCTCCATGGACTTACCTAATTCTTTTTTTAACCAGTTATACTTTTTGGCCTTCAGAGCATCCCCTGGCAATCAGTATATCGTGTGTCTAAAGAAGTACTTTCTTATGTTTGTTTTAAACCTGCTGCCTATTAATTTCCTTGGGCGACCCCTTGTTCTTGTGTTATAAAGGGGTAAATAACACTTCCTTATGCACTTTCTCCACACCAGTCATGATTTTATAGACCTCTATCGTAGGCCCCCGTAATTTGTCTCTTTTCCAAGCTGAGCAGTCCCAGTCTTTTTAATTTCTCCTCCTATGGAAGCTGTTCCATACCCCTGAGTCAGTTTTGTTGCCCTTCTCTGCACCTTTTCCAGTTCTAATACATCCTTTTTGAGATGAGGCGACCAGAACTGCACCCAGTATTCAAGGTCTGGGCGTACCATGGATTTATATAGTGGCATTATGATGTTTTGTGTATTATTTTCTATCCCTTTCCTTATGGTTCCTAACATTCTAACTTTTCATCATAGTTTTTTTTGACTGCTGCTGCACATTGAGCAGATGTTTTCAGAGAACTATCCACACAAACTCCAAACTCTTTCCTGAGTGGAAACAGCTAGATTAGACCTCATAATTTTGTAGGTATAGTTGTGATTGTTTTCCAATGTAAATTATTTTTTATTTATCAACATTGAATTTCATTTGCCATTTTGTTGCCCAGTCAACCAGTTTAGTGAGATCTCTCGGTAACTCTTCGCAGTCAGCTTTGGACCTAACTATCTTGAGTAATTTTGTGTCATCTGCAAACTTAGCCACCTCACTGTTTGCCCCTTTTTTTCCAGATCATTTATGAATATGTTGAACAGCATTGATCCCAGTACAGATTCTTGGGGAATGCTGCTATTTGCCTCTCTCCACTGTGAAAACTAACCGCTTATTCCTACCCTTTGTTTCTTATCTTTTAACCAGTTACTGATCCATTATAGCACCTTCTTTCTTATCCCATGACTGCTTACTATGTTTAAGAGCCTTTGGTGTGGGATCTTGTCAAAGGTTTTCTGAAAGTCCAAGTACACTATATTAACTGGTTCATCCTTGTCCGCATGTTTGTTGACGGAATTCTTAGATTGGTGAGGCATGCTTTCCCTTTTCAAAAACCATGTTAACTCTTCCCCAACATACTGTGTTCATGTTTGTGTCTGATAATTCTGTTCTTTACTATAGTTTCAAGCAATTTGTCTGGTAATGAAATTAGGCTTACTGGCCTGTAATTGCCAGGATCATCTCCGGAGCCTTTCTTGAAAATCGGCGTTACATTAGCTATCCTCCAGTCATCTGGCACAGAGGCTGATTTAAGCAATAGATTACATACCCCAGTTTCATATCTGAGTTCCTTCAGAACTCTTGGGTGAATACTATCAGTTTAATTCGTTCATTTATTCCAAAACCTCCTCTGTTGACGCTTCAGTCTGGACAAGGACACTATGAATGTGAATAGTTCCATAATTTACCTTTGTGCCAGGTGGCATTTAAATTGGTAAAAATGGCCATTACTCTGCCAGTTCTTCCGCCCAAAGTGTGATTGTATTTGTGAACGAGCACGTGCTGTGGAAGTACCTGATTCCAAATTTAGAGCCCAATGCACAAAGCACTTATGTATGTGTGTAACTTTTTAAGCATATGAGTGGTCCCATTAACTTGTTTAAGTGCTTTGCTGTTTCAAAGCCATAAAGTGCAGTATTTGGGGCACTCTTCTTTAGACAATCAGGGTTAGAATGTAAAAGGTTTAAATGATGTGATTTGGAAATTATTTTGACTCCTTTAATGTTCTTGAAAAGATGTTGATATTTACTATTAAAGATACCGTGGTGTAAGAGGAGTATTACTTCTGCATCTGGTTTGTGTTAATAATTAGCCTATCTACTATGTGTTTAACTTCTCTAGTTCAGGCAGTGGCTGAAGGAAGAATATGGAGAAAATTCTTTGCAGGATGAGCAAGAAGCCAAAGTTCTTCTGAGTAAATATAAAGAGCAGGCAATGATGCAACCAGGTGCCGGAGGAAGACAGTGGAATAATAACTTTTCCTCACTGCCTTCCCTGTCATACAACAACTACACAACAGAGACCTAATCACTCCAGGCTGGATTCACTTTCTTTTTTCCTTTGACCTGTTTAAAAACAGATGTCACCAGTGTCCCCTCCACTCTCTACGGAAGTCATGCGAGCTGTACCCTTGTGGAAAACTTGATGAAAATACTATACCGCGCATGTGTGTGTTTTGACACAATTTTACAGTTTTATGTAACACCACTCTCTGTAAGCTTCTCTGCTGAGAGGCACCCCTTATGTCAGATTCTCACTGCCCTCAAACTCCACCCCCTTTATAATATGTGCCTCTCTCTAAAACACACTCGTGTGCGCATGATAACATTGTCTCCAAAGAATGAGCTTCCAAAGTGTGTGAGCACTTTTGTATTTTTTGCTTGTGCTGCGGGTTGCTGTTTGACCTTAGCTACCTCAAAAATGCTGTTCTTGTCACAGAGGTTGTAAATGCAACTTTGAAAATTGCCTCGATTTTACACTTGATGAATGCAAAGTGTGTGTGTCATAAAAAATTTTATTTGAGAGGTTTCTGGCTTTCATTCAAATTATTCATAGTTGTCACTAGTTTTAATTAAAAATTAAGATTAAGTAGGAAGATTCAAGATGTGTGAATTCCATCTATTTTGCGAATTTAAAACCAGTGGTCAGATTTGTCAGAGTGCACATGTAAGCAAAATTTTAAACCAGAGTAAAAAAAAAAAACTAGAGGCCAAATTCTGCTTCTGGTTATCCTGGTGTAAATCTGGAATAGCTCAGTTGACTTAGTTGGAGTTATTCTGGATTTACAACAATGTAACTCCAAACAAGTTAATGAAGTTGTTCCAGATTTACACTGGTGTTATGATGAGGAGAATTGGATACAATGGCCTTACTTTTAGTCTTTGATTCAGAGCAAGCAGAGGTATTGCTTAAAGATTCCAGAACAGAGAAGGATGCTCTCCCAACCTGCAAGGACATTTCAAGAGAATCAAGCTGTTTTAAATATACAGCATATGCTGAATGTCCCAGTCATCCACAGTAAGAGAGAGATTCAGCACACTGTATTTAACCAGAATTTTTTTTTATTTCATGTCCTATGATATGCTAACTTACAAACATTTAACGTGGTACCCTTTGATGCTTGCTGCCAATGTCTTCACACAATGATGAGCTCTGGGATGGACTGTAGGGTAAAGTAAACCCCAAAATATTTTTGACATCTTATCCATTTTAATGGAATGGAAAGTATGGGTATTAAAAATCCATTAACGCAAACATTAGGATTTACATTACTACTGTATTCCATCTCCAATCTGCACTGGAATTCTATGTTGTGGGCCTCATCGCACCACACAGTGCTAGTATATTACATATGGTCAGAACAAATTGTGACTGTGTTGATGGTAGGTGTTGGGATATTGTAGGACTTGGAAAAGTCTTGCCTTTTGTTTCCAACCTCATAGCTTGCTGAATCCCATGTGGACGCGTTACTTAATCTTTGCATACCACAGTCATTAATAGATAACACTTGGCTAGCAGGCAAACAGGTGACTGTATGAATTTCAATAGGAGACCGGTTTAGTGATTGCCCAAGACAATACTACCTTCTATGCATTAGACCGATGGAAGCTTCCATTCACGTTCACTAGTTTTTGTAGACTGGAGACTTTGTAAAAGAGTCTTACACACAAGATTAAGAATGATGATCTCCTTGTTCAAACCTGTGTAATCACAATAAGATATGTATGGCATTTTTGGCACTTGCACCAAAAAAAGACAGTTGTCAAAAGTATTCCAAGAATTTACAGCAGAAGTGTGTGTGTGTACACACAACATACACACACACACAGAGTATATACCAATGTTAACTGCATTTGACACATGTTCCAGAATGTATTGTTGCACTTCTTTTTCCACAGCAACACTGTAGGTGCTGATAAATTTAAAATTACTTTATACTGAGAACAATTGGAGACATCTGTTAATGTTTTGTGTTCAGGTTTGTTCTTTGCTTTTTTGTTTTAATTGGCTGGTTGACTGCCAAAGTGTCAACCTCTGAAACAACATCATTTGATGCCTGCATAGTTGACATATCTCAATAGCCATAAAGCCCACACACTTGTGAAGCTGCAACTGGAAAGAAGACTCAAGAGTAAAGTAAGAAGATCCATAGATGGGAATTGGAGTGTTATGTTTCCAGCACACACCAACTCTTCTTTCTCTTTAATGGACCAGAGGAAGGTATCTGGCTGGGGTAGAGTAGATCCTCATCTCCCCGATCTTCAATGGTTGTGTATCACCCTCCTAAACCCAGGCCACAATTGCACCATCTTCTCCTTCAAGAGAGTAGAAAAGAATTAAGGGGGTGAGAGGGCAACAGGAGCATAGGGAAGCCTGGGCTGTCCTGTCCCTGTGGGGAGTGGGACTGTAGGATCTCCTACTTTAGTAAGTTATCAAGGCACAGAAGGGATGGCAATCACAGCTAAACCTTGCTCCATTCCTTTAAGAAAGGAGCGAAACAGACATTGTCCAGAAACATGGCACAGTCTCTTCTCTTACCAGCCTTCCAGTGACAGCTTAAAGGGCTACTTGACTGTGTGGATATATGATTATCCACCAGAGGACAGTCAACATTCAGGTGTTTGACTTTAGCAGTATAGACTGTGTTCAGTTTTTCCACATACTTTCAGTATCGCCTTTCTGTATTTCTAAGCCTCTGCTTTATTTTGCCTTCCACTATCAAATGCATGAAAATTATTGAGCATCCTGATTTACACGGATAACTTACTATTTTGTAAACTTAATTTTTTTTTGTGACTGCAAGCAAACATTTTAGCATGATTCTACAGGTAACTTCATCAGTATTTATTACCCTGATTTTAACCTGGAAACAGTTGTTGCTTTGATTTTTTTTTTTTTGGAGTGATTGGAAAAATATTATGGCAAATTCTATCTTTTTAAAAAAATAGCATTGATTGTTTATAATGGTCACTGTATATAACTAAGTCAGTGAAAGATTAGAGTAAATACTTCAGTCAGTTAGGAACTGTAAGCCCAGTAAGCTTGGTTCTCTGTCTTCCTTTTGGCATCATAATGAAGCCTCCTCTTTGGTTGCTTTTCTCTATGGTTTTTATTTAATAAGTTCTACAATTTTCTATAAATAAAAGTAAATGTTAATAGCCTATCTATTTGTGTATTTTCTTGAAAGACCTAAATTAATATTCTCTGCTGGATCCCTGGTCCTTGGCTAGCATCCCTACTGTTTGCAACGAGAGCCTATCACAAACTGATCACTCTGGTGTTCGGGTGAAGTTGCTCTTTCCATCACAGAGATCTCTGCAGCCCAGGAAGGATCTCCTGAATCCTTCCATGGGTTCATTGATCTCTGCCAAATGAGTCAAGAAGTGCCACCTGGGGGGGGGGGGGGGGGGGCAGGGGAGGAAAGGGAGTAATAGCAAATGTTTTTACTCTGAACAATGGAAGCCTTGCTACAATTGGTTACTGTAGTGCCAGTGTCTGCAGTACCCAGGTCGTCGTAGTCTGAATTCTTGTCAGAGTTCAGCTAATTAAAGACCAGTGTGAAAACTGACGTGAAACTGAAAATCAGAAATCACATTAATAATGTATATATTTAAATAGCTCCTGTGCTCTGCTTAGTGCATTACCATGTTCCCCCTCCATATAAGTTATCATTGCAGTAGCAGACGAGAACTGTTGCACATAGTTCCCCAGGCAGCTGATAACTAGAACAAGACATGCAGTGACTTGTTGTCATTTTGCCCTTTGGAATGTATTCTTTTCCTGGTATGCCATTATTTTAGATGTTAATACAACTATTTTACAATGTGTTGCAGTGTGGCACTTGTGGTATTTATTGCTTGTACTATCATAGCGCCTAGGAGCTCACTGTGCTAGTTATAACCCACATCACCATAGTGTGGTTCTTTGTTCACCCTCTAGTGGCTGGTCCATCTAAGAGGCTGATGAGTCATACCCTTATGGGACAGTCATCGCAAAGTGTATTCCGTTTACAATATATGAAATGTGTTAAACAATTAAACTTTCCAGAACTGCCCAATTAACTCAGATAGTGTCATAAAAACTAAGATATTATTGCCTCATAACTGGTCAGCAGTCTTTGGGAAACCAAAACTATTGACCAGTTTATCCATTGCCTAAGACATGGTTTATGGTTTAAACCAAATGAACCTCGGGCCAGATCTACACTACAAAGTTTGGTTGGGTGTGAAAAAAACCCACACCCCTTAACCGGCATAGTTGTGCTGCCAAAACTTCCAGTGTAGATGCAGCTATGCTGATGTAAGAGTTGCATTTGTAGTATAGACAAGATGTTGGTCCCAGAGAATTTTGAGGCTCTGAAACATTTCATGCAAAGTATTTGATATATTTAAATTATTTGCAGATATCGGGTCTGATCCAGAGCCCATTGCTGGGACTGCTCACATGTTAAAAGTAAAGTTCATGTGTTTAAGTTCTTTGCTGAATTGAGCCAGAGCCCAAGTCAGCTGGGTAGTTACCATGATTCCGTAATATTTATTTTATTTATTCATTCCTTTGTGAACCACAAATCTTTTTCAACATAATCTGTTCTAGTACTGAGTTTTAGGGCCTGATTTTTCTATCATCTACACCATGTTAGGCAATAAGAAGTCAAATGAAGGGACACCAGTATGAGAAGAGACTCAGGGCCTTAGTCTATTTCACTAATTTAATGTAATACTTTCCGTGGAATTGCAGTCCTCTAAGACCTGTATTATCTGTGAATTTGATTCGCGTACCTTCCACTCCATCTTCCGTGGTGTTAATGACAAATATTGGACTTTACTGAACTGACTGCTGCATGACTCTATTCAATGCCAATTGCTAACTTGACAATGAATCTTGATTAATTATTCAGTATGAGCGTGAGGTGCATCCTCTTCTATATCACTGACTATAAAGTAACCAGACATCAGTGACCATTTTCATCGCTCCACCATCCTCTTATCACTTAGGAAGATTAAGATGTGTCCTAGGTTACGGGGATATTAATAAATCAAAGCACTGAGCCTCAGTGTTGCTTTATTGCTCATATTAGGACTGCATGAGAGTACTCACAAAACTCCCCATGTCCTGTCCTAGCATACGGGGGTTGACTGTAACGGTGGGGTGATTCT